TCCTCCAACTCCTGCAACGAAGTATAAACAGCATAAGCCCTCCAAACCCCATCAGCACCCTGCGTAAGCCGCAGCATCCCAGTCCCAGTCCCAACAGCACTCTTAAAGAAAAACATCGAAGAAACCCAACTCAGCCCTGAGACAACCTGTTCCAGGCGCGGCTGGAACTGGCCCTGGTCTTGCAGTCGGAATCCGCATAGCTGCGCTTTGCTCTGGTGCTGCCTAAGGAATTCTGCGATTTGCGGCGCTGTATGCACGGTGCGCATGTCCCAATCTAACGCGAGCATGTCGCGCCACCAGGACTCTGTGTGGAATATGTCTGCGATGTTCAGCGTGGCTGGGTGCGATAGCTGCGCTGAAAGGGTTGAGAGCCATTGTTGGGCGATTGTGCGTGGGTCCGAGGGGGTGTTTGGGGGTGTTTTTGGGAGTTGGATTATGTGTGGGTTTCCACCTGTTAATGTTGTTGCCATTTTGGGGGGATTCTTATATTGTATTGGATGTGCGTGTCGTGGTCAATGGAGGTGGACGTTGCGACGACGGTATAGCTCCGCGTAAGAAATGATTTATTCTGCGTCGTACAATGGTTCCTTCGCCATTTTTATATCCTCTCACCCCCTCCTTTTCGCCGTTTTGCCGGAGCTTCCTGGCAACTCAAGCGAACCCCACGGCGTATCTCCGTGAACGTGGAGTAACAAACGTCAGGGCGGACTCCTCCCCGAAGTATGTGGGGAGATCGGGGAAATGGCTGCCGAGACTATCCAAGCAGGTCGGCCGAGCTGATTGTCGCCCTAAAGGGAATACCTGGCGATCGGTTCTGGATCATTTCTAAATGTGGTATATTCAGGCACTTTTACTCTTTGTGGATACGCCACAGGGCTGTTTATACTTGTTTAGTCGGTAACGTGCAGAATCGCCAATGCCAAGACTACTGTGAACTGGGGTTTCCGGGATTTTCAGGTCATATTTTCTTATAGAGGGAAGGAAACAGGCAATTTATCGCGATGTCTAATTATAGATTAGGGTAAGAGAACGACTTGTACGGTAGATCAGTCTGTGAACCAGGTAATGAAAATAATATAACTGATAATAACTTCCGTCCATCCCCTATTCACAATAGGACAGATACGAATGTATAAGTTGCCCAACGGACAATAAAAGCCAAAGCCTGAGCATATAGAAAGGCATGCTGAGGTCCGTCACCTGCTAGAACAGCTCTATAGCTAATTGTTGGCTGGGGGAGCATATGTGATCCCAAAATTGACCGACCGCACGGTTTGATAATCACTCGGGTTAGTGCGGTTGCCAAAGATCCTCAGCGCACGCACAACCAAAGAGTAATTGCCGGCCGGGACATACGATCCGTTTGCCAATTCGCCCGTCCATGATGTGGGGCTTGGGCCAGTCACGCCATCAACACTCCGGGGGAGGGCTGTCCGGGGAGCCTGCACTGGGAGAATAGCGTGGCTGTTGGCGGGCTTGACGCCGACGAGGAGCAGATCCGTTCCCATGGAAAGCTTGGTCTGGAAGATGGGGTAGCTGGTGTTCGCGCGGTCTATCGGGTCGTTCTCGCCCGGCACGACGAACTGGTGGTTGGCCTGGACGGCTTGTTGGGTGCTGCTGTCGATGAGAGAATTGCTACCTTGCGTGGTATCTAGGATCGTCACGTTGCGCATAGCGGTGGCAACGCCCAGGTATGGAACCGAGAAAGAATCATTCGTGGTGGTCCCGTTGAACGTGATGAATCCGCTGTAGACGGGGATGCGACGGGCGATGAGACCCTTGGGCGGGGTGGCAGTGACCTTTAACACAGCCGACCCACCGGCGGCCACGCGCACGCTGGATGAGCTGAACTTCAGCGAGGCACCCTCGGTTGTGCGGTCCACGAATTTGCCGAGCTTGTTTACTTGGGGGATGGAACTATTGTCGGACAATGCGTAGACGGTAGCGGCGCCCACATGGCTGACAGTGTAGACACGCGACTCGGAGGCGGTGTTGTTGATGCGGATATATGCCGGGGCGATATGCTCGGTGTCGTTGAAGGCGATAGTGCTTACATTGAACTTGGTGGTGGTGTGCACAAGCTTGTAGGCATCGATAAGGCCACCTCCCTGCTGCGCCACGGAGGCCAGGAAAGGTGAGGCTATAACGCCATCATGGAACACATTCGGGGTGGAAGTGGTCGACAACAGAGACTTGATCTCAGCAGGAGTCACTTTGCCCTTGCCGCGAGCCTCCATCAAGAGAGCAATGCAGCCAGCAACGTAGGGGGTCGCCATCGAGGTACCGGTGTCGATGGCGTAGCTGCCCTCAAGGACCGGCCATGTCGACAGCATGAAGCCACCGACCCCTGAGGCTGCTGTCACAGGGAGGAGCTCGTTGCTGGGGCCCCACTGACTGAAATCACTAACTTGGCCACCAGATTGAGGGTTTTTCTCATTGGTAAAGAAGGGTTTGGAGTTCTTTTCGCTAGTCATGTGCAGGGTGACGTTGGCTCCAGATGCGACCAGTTTCACCCAGTTCGCGCCAGTCTGGGAAGAGACCATTCCCAGGCCCACCAGACCAGGGTCCTGAACGGGGAGCTCATAGGTGCCTGGTACATTGTTATAAAACAGGATGTTCTTAGCACCGGCCTTCACCGCGTTGGCCTGCTGCTGACTGCCTTTGCAGCCACCATAGCGGATGAGCACGATCTTGTCGGAGACGTCGGGGTGGCCTGCCGTCCACGGCTTGCAAGAATCACCCACGACGGATGCATTCAGGCTGCTCGGGTAGAGAGAGTAGGTGCCATTTTTGAAGTCGTGTGTACCCGCGATCTGCCAGCCAAATTCCTTGGTGGTGTTTCGGGTGGAATATGAGGCTCCAGTCAGCAGCAGGGGACTATACAAGTTGTTGAAGGATCCGATGCCGATGCCGGCGGAGTTGTCGATGCCATTCGAGGCCAGGAACAGACCTAAACTTCCGTCATTGCCACTTGCAATGAATGAGGGAAGACCGGCCTCGGCCAATTTCTGGATCAGTTGTCCCCACGGTTCGTCACTCCAGCCCTTGTACGTGCCAAACGATGCCGAGATGATGTCTGCTTTGTCCTCGTAGGCCATCTTGAAAGCGGCAGCGACAATGTCGGTACCGGTGTGTACTGAAGGCGTTCCAAGGACCTTGTAGTGACCCAGAGTCACATTCGGGGCCACGCCGGTGAAGTTGTAGGGGTTAGGCTGAGCGGCAATCAGTCCAGAGACATGAGTACCTACGGGCTATCAGCTGAAAGATCCAGATATACTGCATCCCTGAAGGTAAACATACCATGTCCACTGTGGCCTTCCCACGGGTCAGTAGTGTTGTCAAGGAAGTTGAAGCCGAACTCAACCAGGCAGCCCTTGCCAAAGCAGCCTCCAAGCGCGGGATGCTTGTAGTCAACGCCGGAGTCAACAACTGCTACGCGAATACCTGTTCCTAGGTAGCCCTGCTGGCGCAACTTGTCAACTCCGGTCATGATGTGAGGGTAATCGTTGCCTTCGTGACCTGCCGTGTCACGGCGTCGGATACCATGAGAGGGAGGATTACGGCGGGCGGGTGCGCCATGGGCAACGCTCGTAGCGTCGCGTTTGGGGTGGTACAGCTCACGGACGGGGGAGACCTTCTTGACCACAGGCCACGAGGAGATCTGCTTGACAATGGCAGCCTCGCTCTGGTCGTCGAGCAAAGTGAAAGATCCGCCATGGAAGAGAGCAAAGGACAAGTCATGGTTGAGACTGGCAGGAATGCCGTGGGCATTCAGTGTGGAGAGGAAGCTGGTTGAGGACTGTATAAATTAGTATATCTATGCAATTTGCCATGGCGGCGCTAATATGTAGACGAACAGTCTTGGAATCAGCAAACTCGACGATGTATTTTTGGGCAATAGGGTCGCCATGTCCTGCCAGAGCCACCGGCAGGGCTGCTAGGAAGGCGCCCACCCATGACCAAACAGGGGCCATATTGAAAAGAATGACTGGATCAAAAAAAAGATCCGAAAAGAGCGACTGGGAAGTAAATCAAGGAGTGACGAGTATGGAAAAGAATGAACGGAACAAAATGAAAAACCACCCCTACCCGCCCATATATACCGATGGTATGCTTCAATGGATCTTTTGTGCACTAAGATCTCGTATTGTAGATGATCGGCGTAGATAGTCGCCGATCTTCTTCGATTGAGGTCTGTCGATCAAGCCACGAAAAAAGGGTCTCTACATATGAGTGGCTCCACGGAGATTAGGCACGGCACGGCCGAGATGAACATGTCGCCGGGGAACACCATGTGTACGGAGTAACGTTATGTAGACGGCGCCACATAGTAAAGAATGTTGTCAATGCAATTCGGTGAGATTTTTCCCTATATTAACCTGAAGCATCAGGGATGCATATTATCCCTTCTTTGGTGTTCTCCCGTTCGGTTCCGGCATTGTGGTAACCGTGGGCCGCCAAGTAAAATGTTCTCTCCTTTTGCAGAGGTTCGATGGGCACAATTCTCCATGCTCTTTTATTGGATGTCAGAGCAGCTGAAACTGGCGAGTGCTCCAATATACATAGTACATGCATAACTAAGTTAAGTGACTTTCTATGTATACTTTAGCTTAGGGCAAGCTGACTAACTAACTCATCCTATGATCAATGTTCTAACATGAAGCTACACACTTGTATTACGCGTGCGCCGCATACTCTTTCTCTCGCTATTTTCCATAATCTACAGTAATTCAGTGGTACCACGGCTCTCCCGTTCGAGCGGGGCAGAGCACGCAGTATGACGCCTTCAGGATGCTTGGAACAATCGTTGTGTTTCTAGCTCGTTGCTTTAGAATCTTTTTAACTTCTGTCCATCGTGTATAAAAGTTTAGAGTTATCCTATGAATAGCACCCGAATGTATCTTTGAAGAAAAACGGTATTGACCTTACGGCTGAACAGAATGATCAAAGCGTAGTGTAGTTCAGTACTTATTTAAAGCTAGACAATTAGGGCTAGTTTGTCACCTTCCCTCCGGGAACCAAGGCTCATGCCGGAAAGTGATGCTCAATGACCCCCACTTAGGACGAGTTGAAAGGACAGTGAGATATTTGCGAAGCTCGCACAGATCATCACACAGATGCAAGGAACTGCTATAGGCGAACTCGGTTCCCGCTAACTCAAATATTTTCCGCTCGTATCCAGAAGCAAGATGAGCGCGATGCTCAACAATTGTAAGATCCACCGGAGGGGGAGGAATAACAACAGAGAACCTAGTCTTGCCTTTACAAGAAGCAATCTGAGCCCTAACCTCCGCATACTGCGGTTCCCAGATTTTGAACATTTCTGTCCATTTGGGATCGTCGCCGTTCTGTGCGAGCGCAGAGCACATCTCCCAAACAAGGTGTGATGCGCACACGAATTTGTGCATATCTTCTACCTTGATCCCTGTCACGGGACCGTTCTCACGCCGAAGTTCAAATAGCAATTTGGGCAAAGAGAGATCTCTGATTTTATAGTTAGTAATCGCTCGTCGCATAACATGGCACAGTGTCTGGGGAGTCCGGGCCTTTTCTTGGGTCCTCTCTGTAGCTTTTTCACGAGTACTTTCATGAGTCCTTTTTATGGTCCTCGTTGGGGCCCTCTTTGTGGATCTTCCTTCTAGGGCTGCCAGGGCATCTCCATGATACGCAGGTTGATAGGGGATAGAATACCAAGCGCGGTAAGCCTCTTCGTGGGCTCTTTCGGAATTCACCCTAGTTGGAAGCTGTACTCTAGGGCCGGGGTTGAACTCAATAGGGAGCTTGATGTCCTTCTTCACTTTAGGTTGAGGTGGCATAGTTGAATATTTAGTCAACGTGGTTATATATTATTTGTGGAACGGAAATGTATAGGGTAACGAAGCTCACTGCGTAAAATTAGTGAAATAGTAAGGTATATGATCCTATTTCCTGTGGAGAAACCAGGGCTTATATATCTATCACATCCGTCGTCTGCGGGGCTAAATTTGATCTCAAAGAGGCGTTCTCTTTGCTCTTGTTCATTCAAAGATGATCCCAAGACAATGCTTATTGTCAACGAGTCTTATTGTTCTTTGTTCGAAGAACATCAAGTTTACAAAAGAACAAGGCCATTCTTTGTTTTCTATATATCTCAACCTCGGATTCAAGGATATAACGCGCTCTATTGCAGGTTTGATACAACAAGGGTCATAAAGAGTATACGTACCACTGATCTCTACGCGAAAGCCTCGAAGCGAGTATACCGTTTCATTGGCCTCTCTTTTTTCAATTTCCCTTTTCCCATCATCGAGTTGTTTAGAAATAGTGGGTTGACTATATAGATTATATAACGGTAGGGGTTTCAAAGAACATGGCTCATGTTTATAATCTGAGAAACCTATTATTGGGTCTAGTTGTCTCTAGTGATTATTTATATGTATCACGACCACTCTGCCTATTTAGTAAGCTTGGGTGAAGGTCCCTAAGAAAAGAACTACATAGATATTTGGAATTAGAACCAGAAAAGTAGAACTACGAAGCTACACCAGGGCTGGCGTCGTAACGCCCCAGCGGAATCAATCGCCGCCGAACCACCAATGACACCAGACAACGTCGATACACTACGCGCCACGCCCATTCCCCAAGTGTCGCCCGTATCATAGCTATGGTGCAGTCTGAGAAAGGCAAGAACGCATTGCTAAACCACCTCTCATACCAGGGAGGATTTCTGTCATGGAACCGTGGACACGAGGATTTACGAGGGACAGAAAGGGGGATTTTCGATAACATGGCGCAATATCTTAAAAGGTTGTCTTACAGTGAGAAAGGCAAGGGGAAGGCGGAGGCCAACGGGGAGGAGTAGTAATGAGAGGAACAGGAAGAGCAATAGCAGTGGTGTGAACCGTATATATGTTCGTCTATATTTGATCTTTCATTCTAACGCTATACACAAAACTTCAATCCAAAATGTCACAAAACCCCCAAATATCAAGTCTCCAACGACTGATGAATAACATTCGTCCGATAAGACTCACTAGCCTGAACAAGCTCATCATGAGTCCCCTGCTCAACACAACGTCCATCTTCAATAAGATAAATGCAATCAGCCCGATGAATAGTATTCAACCGATGCGCAATAGCAACGATGGTCGTACGACCAGCAAGCGTAGCCAGCGCCTCCTGGATTCTCTTCTCGGACTCAACATCTAACGCACTGGTCGATTCATCGAGAAGTAACATGCGCGGCCGACGAACAAGCGCTCGGGCAATTGATAGCCGTTGTCTCTGTCCGCCCGAGAATTGTTTTCCGTCGTGGCTGCATTGCGTTTGGTATCCTTGAGGTAACGCCATTATCACTTCGTGGACATTGGCCATGTGACATGCTTCTTCGATTTCGGCTTGTGTTGGCTGGTGGCCGGGTCGGGCTCCGAGGCCGATGTTGAATGCGACTGTGCCTTCGAACATGACGTTTTCTTGTGGGACGAGTGCAATGTCGTCACGGAATTTTGTGCCTAGTTGCCGGGTGATATTGACACCGTCGATTATTACTGCACCGGACTCTGGACGGTAGAAGCGCTCCAGCATGGCGAATGTTGTTGATTTACCAGAGCCGCTGGAGCCGACGAGGGCGCAAAATTGACCGGGCTGAATTCTTAGGCTTAGACCGCGGAGGACGGGCTGGCCGGGTCGGGAGGGATACTCGAAGTGGACGTTTTGGAGCTCGGCACCGATACCGCTCATCATTGGAGGTGCTTCGGTTGAGTTGAGCAAGCGCTGTTCTGGGTGTGCTGCTTCGGGGTCAGGTATCTTCTCTTCAAGAAGATTGACGTCGACTTTCTGGCCCTTCGTCTCAAAGTTCAGCTCCTCGTCGCTGGATCGGGTGGTGAGCAGCTCAGCAATGTTCGATGCTGCTAGTCCAGCCTTGGAGATATCAGGTGCAAGTGCAAACATCTGTCCGCAAGACTGGGTACTGAACAAAAGAGCCGGCAACACAATGAAGAATTGAGTCTGAGAGTAGAGTCCAGCGATGATCTGCCGAGTACCCCACCAGTAGGCTAGGGCATAGACAAGATTGCTAATGCTGAACGCCGTTGCAAGGAAAACATTGCCAAAGGCAATCGACTTCAATGTCTCGCGGTACGGGGCTTTGAGTGCCCGTTCATAGACTGCATAGGACTGTTTCTCCAGGGAAAATGCCGACACAGCCCGTATGTTACTGACAGCTTCAACAGTAATGGCTGTCGCTTTCGCAAAAGCCTTCTGGTGTCGTTCAGCGAACTGGGCCTGGGTGCGTAGCTTCATCATGCCCGCGATCAGGAGCACAGGGATCGTGGGCAGAAGAACGATAGCAATCTTCCACGCAATAGCGAACGATATCACCATACCAGCCACCAAGTTGACGGCAGTAGCCAGCAACAGCCCGATGGTTGTTCCAGTGATGCTGCTCAATGCAGTGGCATCACCGGTGATGTATGTGATGAGAGTTCCCGGAGAGCGATCATCATCACCATGCCACGTCATAGTCTGGTTCAAGAGAGATCGTAGTGACAGGACTCGGATCCGGTAGAGGATCTTGTCGGCTGCCCAGCCATATGCACAGCCGCTGATCACATTTGCGCCTAGCTCAATCAGAGCCATAATGAAGAATAGTAGTCCGTATAGGCTTCCACCTGATCGGATACCGTCTGCTCCACCACAGGGACTCAAGGCGCCAACTGTATGTCCGAAGATGACGGCCTCGGCGGAATAGCTACCACCGATAATGACGGACATCGCAAAGCCAATTAGGATGAAGTGCATATTCGGACGCAGTAGAGACCAAGTGAACTTTGTGGTGAACCAACCCGAGCGCTTGGGCTTTTTCTTTGCCTTGAGCTCTTTCTCGCGTCGTTTCTGTTCTTTTTTGGTCTCCTTTTTGACGACACCCTCGTATGCAGGCAAAGTTTCATCCGTGACATCGGCACCAAGAATATCCAATAAAGCCTCCTTGTTATCCACTGGCAATGTCTCGATAATGGCCGTCTCTCTGGTTTGGCGTATAGGATCCTGTTTAAGCGTACCGATGCTCAACTTCCCAAGATTCTGAAGGCGGACCATCTCAGCATATGAACCTCCCTTTGCGACTAGCTCTGCATGAGGTCCTTCTTCAACCACTCTGCCTTTTTGGATGACTACAATTTTGTGTGCATCCTTTGCCGTGGCGAGACGGTGTGCAATTGAAACAGTAGTCACGCGTTCCGACACCTTGGCCAGTGCCTCTTGGATTAATTGTTCACTGGTGGAATCCAATGCTGCCGTCGCCTCATCGAGGATGAGCAATGTGGGTTCTCGCACTAGAGCTCTAGCTAGGGCAATGCGCTGCTTCTGGCCTCCACTCAGCATGTTGCCAGATGAGCCTGCGGTTGTAGCAAGGCCATGTGGTAGGGCGTCAATGAAGCTCAAAGCATTTGAGCTGGTGGCAGCCTGTCGTACTAAAGACACGATCTCAGCTACTTTAGGATCATGACCTTCAAGTGCTTTCTTTTCTGAAAGACCTGTGCGAAGTTGGGCGACTAGGTCAGGGAGAGTGGAATCGAAGATGAAGGGGGCCAAGGATTGGTGGTGTTCAGCTGCAGAGGTGACGAGTCCATAGGCGATGTTTTCCAGAATTGAGCGGTCCAGCAATGATGGTTCTTGTTGTACGAAGCCAATGTTCCCCCTCAGATACTTCACGTTCAAATCACGGAAGTTTTGGTTTCCAATGGAGATTTCTCCAGACAGGGGATCATAGAAACGCTCCAAAAGGGCCACAATGGTCGACTTGCCTCCACCAGATGGACCAACAATTGCAGTGTGTTTCCGAGGCGGAATGGCAAAGTCGACACCTTTGAGAACAGGCACGTCCGGGCGAGACGGGTATGTGAAGTGCACATCTCGGAAAGTGATGTCTCCGGAATTGAAAGGTGCAGACTTATCACCAGAATCGGATGTCCCATCAATGTTCGATTCACGATGGATGACCTCGAGTAGTCTATCAGCTGCGCCAGCCGCGGAAGCGAAGACGTGAACAAATGGCGCAACTTGACTGAGAATGAACGAAGCATCAATCAGGACGAAGATGACCGTATATACCGCACCCACTGACACCCCCGTCCCGCCAGCTTCCACCGAGTCCGCGATCAAACGAGCACCTTCCCAGAAAGCCAAGGCATTGGCGCTGTAAGCAACGAAATAAAGAAATCCCAACTGGCAAGCATGGGTTGCAGCCTTCTTAAGAGCATCTATCCGAGACTCGGAGAGATAATCCGCAAACAACTTTTCTAGTCGATCGTGCGCGTTGAAAGCATGCACCAGCATCAAATGCGACAAGCTCGAAGAGGCAATAGACGTAGCAGCATTAGCACGCTGGCTGATCAGCCCACCATATTTCTTGATATAATACCCTCCCACATAAGTCATTGCAAAGAAACATGGCACCACCGACATCAACATACCCGCAATCTGCGGGACTTTGATGAACGCAACGACATACGAAGTCACAAAATATGAAACGGTAGAAATGACCAAACCGACTTTCTCCGAGGTACCCGATTGCACGACCTCGATATCCCCCACGAGTCTGGAAACGACATCTCCGGCTGGTAGACTCTCGATATAGCCCGTTTCTTGCCTGATCACGCTTTCGAAGTAGCGGCGACGGTATCGCCGGGCAATGCGTTCGCTGATCAAACTCCAGCAGCTGCAGTGGATATAGATAAAGCAGAAATTGGCGATGGTAATATAGATCACGTAGAGGACTTTTGTGCGTACTGAGCCTGTTACGTCGGTATTTGATGTTTCGGATGGGACGCAGGTAGCC